ATTTAAAGCATCAGTTTTGTTTTGCAACTTTGCAGAAAGATGCCCCTGAAAAGTGCGTAACAAATCAACCAACCCCGCTGTGAAGATTGATAAAGGAAATGCATGCACAAATGTAAGTATGTGTGACTTTGTGCACATGCGAAGCCGCAGTGCAGTTGCAGTGCCTAACACACATACGCATGATGCACTTTTCATTTCATTGGCTAAGCAATACAGCCTCAATTGTCGCTCAATGCATTTGAGAACACAAATTTGCTTTCGTTTACACTTTGCACGACCTGCCTCAAACCGTTTATCTAGTTTAACGTACAAAATGCATTTAAAAGTACTATGAATGTATGTACATTTATGCACTTGTAAGTGTATGCAAGTATGTACATATGTGTAGGCGGGCGGTCTGTTGACTGTTATTAGCATGTACATACTATTTGGTACGTGGTGGTAAACAAAATCTGAGCAATTTTAAAAGTTATGAATGAATATTGTTTTTACGTTTATTTATATGAGTGTATACATACATATGTACATATGTATAGATGTAGATATATGTATGTATATGTAAATACACAAATATGTATTTATACAATTGTCTGTATACAATAAGTAAACTAAAATACGATTCCATAAACATTTAGCTTAAGGGGGTGTGCACTGAGTATACGTACCTAAATATATATAAGTTGTAAAGATATGAGTGTCGAGCCTTTCTTAGTCATCAACAACTTAGTATGTATGTATGTATGTACATGGTTTGTATTTATAAGACAAAAACATTTAAAATAAATACTTAAGTACTTATTGAATACGCCCTATCTCAACCTATTTGCACCGTTTTTGAACCATATTCTTCAACGAAATTCTGAAGTAGGGCGTTCTTGGTAAGTTTTCTGAGATCGGGCGTTTTCGAACCGGCTGCCGAGATACGTCGATCTTCCTTTCAGCCGTCGATATGTCGAACCCAGGTCCTACTCCTGTGGTAGTAGGAACCTCTAACTAATCAGCCACAGTTACGTACTTCTTATAAACTGCGGCCAAAAATGGTCAACAAGCACCGATTTCGCTTGAATATGAAAAAATTGTGAAAATTTGCATTTTGCAACAGCCACCATATTTGTGATCGGATTTACTTAAATGAAACTCGGAGTGCATATTTGTTCACCCCAAAAAGCATAAATCAGCAATATGGTGAATATTTACCAATTGAAATGCCTATCATTCATATCTAATCTGAAATTTGATCAAAGTTTTACGAACCATGGTCTAAGTTATTTTCGTTTCATTAAATAAAGCATAAAAATGAAATAAAAGTTACATATATTAGGTCTTTGGTCAATAATATTACCAAGTGAAACTCGGCTCAATGTTGACTCTCATATTTAAGGGAAGCCTGTAAGCAATTTGCAAATTATTAGGTGTACACTTGGGCCTCAAGCACTGCTGAAAATCTCAAAAAATGATGCACATACATACATACATATACTTCGAACATACTTAACTGAGCCTATATCTCCATCTGACATTACTAGGGACCTATAGGTCTATGTGGGGCTGTCAGTCAACATACGAAATATGAATCTAACAGAAAGGAGTGGCTACTAGTGCTTTCTATCTTTAATTCAAAACATCTTACATTTTTTGTAAGCTTTTGGAATAGCAAAATGTATGAAATATAACATTTTGTAATCGAAATTTTTGTCATCAAAAACATTTTAGTTTGATTAAGTCTTTTGTCTAAACCTTTGCCAATATAAACTTAAGAACTCATTTACATCTTAGTTGAAACATTAGCCTTAAAATGGCATCGAAATGTTTGCTTTGTTAGATAGTGTGGCGGTTACATTTATTTAGGTGATACCATTAATGAATCCATTACCATTAATAAATCAATGATTTTATATAATACATGAGTAACTACTATTGCATACTTTTTCCCACTGATAAGCATTTAAATTGTTTAGATAGTATAACCTGGCGATATTGGAAATTTGATGAGTTTTATTGGCACATTTTTATCCTCAATATAGCACCTCATAGCCAAAGGCTCAGTTATGCATAAGTACTTGGCATTGAATGAGAGTTATCACATAAGGAATCTGTTAAATGAGTTTTGCGTGTAAGCGGTTAGCCAGCGCACAGCATTACATAGTACATATGTATGTAGAGGTCTGTTGGTTTTTGATTTTTACGTAAAAATGATATGCTATGCAGTGCAGTGCAAGGTATACATAACTGAGGATAATTGGCAGCACTGATTGGACTGCATCTGCGAATCGTTAGATTGGTTAGTAAGAACATAACTGTCTACCTTTGGCTGATGAAATTAACCGACTAAGAGAAGTACAGGCGACAGATCGCAGTATCACCGACGATATATGTATGCTTTCCGTTTTAGTTAAAAAAAAACTACGTGAAAATTTAGAAGGCCAATAGGCGTTCCAATAAGGTTTTGATGATAAAATAATAAACTATTATTTTATTTTCTTATGTTTTATTTTAACTCACATAATTTTGTTATTAGTTAAATAAAATTTTTGGAGTTTAATTTTAGTATGCTATAAAGTGCGTGTGACTAAAAGTGTTAATAAACTTATTAGCAGATAACGTAAAGTTTTTATCAAGACCAAAAATTCTCTTGAGGTAAGATGAAATTAATCTGAAATTTACGCCCACAATGAACATGTGAACAATAATGGGCATAAAAAAATACTAAACCGAATTCCCAGTAGACAATAATTTTGTGTGAATTACAATATAACTAGTGGAAATTTACATAATGACAAATTTTGTGAACCTAATGATATGGGTTTTTCTTAATGCCCAATTTTATCGTTAAAATTGGTCTCATTCATTGCCCAGTGTAAATGAAGCATAAGAATGAATGTCAATTTTCATGGGTAAGCGCGAACACATACATAGGTATGTACATTTGTAGTATTTATGTATATGTATACAAACATAGGCTTTTGCACAAGTGAGACAGCATAAAAATTAATCATGAAAGCTGGGCAAAAAAAAATTATCAGGCACACTTCTTTCTAAATACATACATATGTATGTGCATATGTATGTTCATTAGACCGTAGCAGAAACAAAAGTTCGCCGTACATACCTGAGTCTAAAATATGTATGTTTAACCGACTTCAAAAAAAGGAGCAATGTTATCAATTCATCGGAATATTTTTTTTAATTTTTTATGAATGCTATTTTTTTATGATATCGGAAAGTCGATACCTCAAAGGTGGTCCTACTGTGCCATGAAGAAATAAACGGTACATAGGTACTCCTAAATTTAAGTCGGTTGTGTTTTTAATTCGTCGGAATATTTTTTTTATGTACATTACCGCATAACTTCAAACCACGTCAACCGATTTCGATAATTTTCTATCGGAAAGGTTGCGTCTCCGAGGTGGTAATTTGGTTTAGATCCGATTATTGAATCATGAATAAATTAACGGTACTCCTAAATTTGTATATGAGAATTGAAGTCGGTTGTGTTTTTTGCTTAAAAATTACTTGTTGCAAGACAATTCCCAAATATTTTTTTTTTGCTGAAAAGAAGGGGCGCTTTTTAATTTTTCGTTATGCCCTCGGCATTTACCATAATGAACCTTAATATCATTAAATTAAATATCTACAAAATCATTAACCTTCTGCTAATGATTTTTTTTTTTATTATTCCAGTAGAACTATTTAAAACACAAGTAATTTTTAAAGAAAAACCACCCTTGAGGTACCTACCACCTTCCTTAAAAAAAAAAAAGAATAATAGGATTCGGTTAACGTCCGACGAATTGATAACCTCCCCCTTTATCCAAGTCGGTTAAAAATTGATTGCCGAATGTAGTTTTTTTTTTAAAATTGCCTTGCAAACGTTGGCCTGCAATGTGGTGCGGTCTAATGTACGAGTACATACCTACATAATATGCGACCGCTAAAAAATTCAAATGGCGTCCGTAAACTTCAAACGACTTGAAATTGGTAAAAAATGCCATTATCTATACATACATACATATCTGTGGACATTTGAAAGAACAACTTAAGTCAATCTTCCACGGACAAACAAAATAACATATGTCGACAGAGCTTGTTTTTTACCGTCAAAGCAATAATTCTTAGTTCGAAGAAAATATTCAGTTATTGAAAACAGCAACATTTTAAAAATGGTGAATAGCAAAAAAAATTATATTTTTTTATTTTGAATTTATTTTTTTGACGAAATATTTTTTGTAATCATATGCTATTTTGTTGTGAAAGATAGACTTAAGTTATTCTTTCAAATACCCACAGATATGTAAATATGTAGATATGTATGTGTGTACATATTTATATTTAATTTATGCGCACGAGCAAAAAAGTTTTGCACATACCATCCCAGCGACAATTGGTGAAAAAAATAGAAAACGAAAGAAATTAATTCAAAAAAAGTCGAAAATTATACTATATAAACCGGCAAGTATGTAAATGAACAGATCGCACACGTTAAGTGGCAATGCAAAAAAAAAAAATAAAATAAAAAAATTGACGCTCTATAAAGAGTGAAGAGCTGCTATTTTTAGTAATCAAGTTAAATTTCATAAATTTGGCAAATTTTTTCACCTATTATTAATGATGCTAGAACAAGTTATTTTTTTATGCACATTTAAAATTTTTTACCAAAACTTTTAGTTGTAGATTAAAATTGTTGCAAGTGTACTTTTATGCACTGCCACCTCAAATTTTTCTAGAAAGATTGCCTCCATTGCCATTTGGTCGGCATTGTCTAATGAGGTACACTTATTTAGTACATACATACATATACATATATATCATTCAAACTAATTTTTTTCTCCTGAATTACATGTACAACTTATCAGTTTTTGCATTGATTGGATTCGATTTTGGTTTTCCTTTGCTAGCCACTGTTTTCATGTTTGCGCACACTTTTTAGCCCCTTTGTATTCAATTCAAATTCAATTTATGTATGCATGTAGTATGCATGCTTCCTTGGCTTATATACAAACCTTTGCGTTAATCGCCATTTTGGTCGTCATTTTGCCGACAAGAAATCGCTCAAAGGGTTTGCGTTTATTTATGTACACTTTTCCACTAGCTGGACTTGGTAAGTCCTTTGAAGTTCGTTTATAGATTTCTCACTTATTTTAATTCTGTAATTAAGTTCACCGTTTTTTTTTTTGCGATTACTCGTTTTATTTAATTATATTCATAGGTATGTATATGTACATATATTTTTCTTCACGACCGGTTAAAAATTGTACTGGTCCTGTTGTTCATTTGTTTGCACACTTGTTCCACTTTTATTTTATGCAGCGTATTTTTTTTTGTTTGCTCTAAAAAATTTAAAATTAATCCCAACGCTTCGCTGTGTCTGCAACAACTGAGTTCGCACAGCGGCAAGCACCTCTATCTATAGGTGTACGCCAGCATTTACGTCCGCCTCCGATTGCCGACCGGATGCCTAAAATGTTAACAATTACTACTACATTCTCAAATTTTATTCGCACACAAATATGTATATACATACTTATGTACAAATGCACCTACATATTCTCATGGTGCCAAAGTGGTGGTCTACAGTGGCGACATGTGGCGCTTGTGCTCAAACGCTCCCTCTCATTTGCTCCCAAAATACACTTGTTGAAGATTGAAGAAATTCTTAGTTAAGCTCTGGAATTTGAAAACATACATTCATATGTATATAAGTGTGTGTGTGCAAGTACTTGTTTATACATATATGTATGTAAATAAATAAGGAGAGTACCGGCGTTGGAGGTGCTCCGTGGTAAACACAGCAGAGAACGTTGATATGAACAATGGCTCTGAAAATTTATCAATGGAGTCAACTGTACTAAAAACTAAAGGAAACAAGAGAACGACAACCGGTGTTCTAAAATGTTATCACTCTCAGCGCCGCTATTATCTCTGTAGCGTGTAGGGTGATCCAAAATAAGTAATGTCGCAATTTTAATGCTCTCACCCCTAGGATTGTTCTTTATCGAAAAAATATACTCCTAATTTTTATTTTGAAATCAAAAAATATTTAGAGGTCGCTCAAAGCGCTCAAATCTTTCCATGTATTTTATATGGCGAACAAATCAACGTTTCGTAGCAATGGTATATAATTCTTGAAAATCAATATTTTTCGATCGGAAAGCTCTCTTCTCAACAACAACGGTACTTTTTAGCTATTCGAAACTTGCACTCTCCTAAAATCTGATGTGATGCAAATTTTGCCGAATTTTCCTAGTTTTCAACCGAGGAGGAGGAGGTTATCAATTCGTCGGAATATTTTTTTTAAGTATCTTATTGCATAACTTTAAGCCACGTTAACCGATTTCAATGAATGTTTTTTTAAAGAAAGGTGGTACCTCAGAGGTGGGTTCATACTAATTTGGTTTAGATGCGATCATTCGATCATGAAGAAATTAACGGAATGCTTAAATTTTTATATGAGAATTGAAGTCGCATTTGTTTTTTGCTTGTTTTTTGCAAAGTTTGGATTTTTGGTTTTATGGTGTTTGTTGCACTATGAACCATATTTAAATAAAAAAAAATAACACATGAAATTTAACATGAAAACTTTACGAATACCTATTAAAGAATACATACAAGTTTTTTGGGTGCACGATTTAAGCTGCGAGCCACTGTATATACTTCATACATTTAAATATTTACAACTGTCTAGACTTTACGTAAGAAACAAGTATGAAACAAATAATTTTTAAGCAATAAAAACAGAACAGACTGAAGTTCTCATATAAAAATTTAAGAGTATCGTTAATCTCTTCATAATCCAATGATCGGATTTAAACTAAATTAGTATGGCACCACCTGTGAAGTAACACCTTTTCTTAAAAAAAAAAATTATAGAAATCGGTTAACGTGGTCCAAAGTTATGCGGTAAAATACATATAAAATTAAAAAAAATAAAAAATATTCCGACGAATTGATAACCTTCCTCCTTTTTGTGAAGTCGGTTAATAATAGGGATATTAATGTAGAATTGGTGTGCAACACAAAATGCAATCAAAATAGTCTGCTTTCTTTTACGAAGTTGGGAACTTTTTTCTCATATTTATTATTGCAGCGATCCAGTGTGAATTGACAGTTGGTTGAATAAGAATCAGTGCCTGGGCGATCGAGCTTTGCTCCAGAATATATAATTTTAAGGTTTTTTCAAAATTAATAATCTTCATCTTCGTCTCATTTTCAATCTTAGTCTTAAAAGTAATCTTAACATTTATCTTAATCTAAATCTTTCTCTTACTCTTAATCTTCATCTTAATCCTATTCTTAATCGTAACCTCAATCTTATTCTTAATCGTGTCAATCACCCACTTTTTCGTTTCACTGCAGTTTCGTGTCGTTTTTTCGAGCGCAAAGAAGTTTCTCTTCAAAATGTGTTGTAATTTAGAATTGTAATTAAGACACAATTTTTTAACTTAAGTAAGTAAATTTTCTTAAAATGCAATTTTTGATTTGTTTATTTATC